AAAAAAAAAAAAAAAAAAAAAAAAAAAAAAAAAAAAAAAAAAAAAAAACCACGAGCAGCATGACCAGAAAACAATTGCTTTTAGGGCAGACCCCTAATCTTTATCTGCTATAATACAAGCTTGGCTGAGCTTTCCTGAAATCTGGTCATTTCTGCCTTGGCGCGTGCCGTAGCCAGTTATACTAGAGTGTGCCAATGATTGGAATTGATTGGATTTTTTTTCATATACTTTTCTGGCCAGAACATTTGCATCAGCCACATGTTGTCTTGTTCTAGGATGTGTAATACATTTTAATAATTGACTTAATTGCCACTTTTATTGTATCCTGGGTTCTGCACTGCATTTTTCATAAAATCAGTAAAACTGACTCAGAGGCCACATCATCTGAAGCTGGCTACATCTTTGTTGCTGGTTTATGAATGTTCAGCTCCTAGGGAAATTCAACATACACTACATTACATTTTATAGTCCCACAAGTCCCAATAACCTAAATTAGACTAAACTTTCCAGGAAGCTTTTCTTCATATACCTCAAAGTTATCTCTAGCAATTGTTTTTAGTGCACACACGGAGAGTCTATTGAAGAGCTGTGCAGAAACGTGCCATATTCCTTTGGTGAAGGTGCCAATACACCTAAAATCCAAATATTGGAAGGGAAACTATAGTTTAGTTTCAGGAACATATTAAACAAATACTATACGGTCAGACTGAAAGAACCTTTATGTTCCCATATTTATTGGCTTATTTATATTTTAAAGCAGGTCAAATGCAGGTAAGAATGAGATCAAAAGCACCCATCAATGATTTCTTAAAGGAGAATTATGAGGTGAGTGATTTTCACTCAGCCTCATAATCTGAGCCGCCCTGTGACAATGAAACTGGCACAGGTCGGCTCAGTAGATCGGGAAGTGAGCGAACACATACCAGCGCTCGCTCACTTCTCGATCTATCCCTGCAGAGAGCCGTGACTTGAACTTGAATGTGTGCAAACAGCAGTGGCACTGAATGACGAAGATGACACCGATCCTACATCTGACAATAAAAATACCAATGATGGTGCCTTCAAAGAAGGAGGACCAAAACAAGGTCAGTAGGGTTGCAATGGAAATTGAAGAGAAAAAAAAAAAAAAAGGAAAGCACTTGTACTTGCACATGTTTTGAAAAGTTAACACAGCTTATTGCAAATTAAAGTGAACAGCCCCAGCGTCTCCCATCTTTTGAGCACACAGTGTTTGAGGAGACACAGATGCAAAGTAGAAAATGTTCATTCCACTCCTGCTGAAGTATCAGGCTAAGACAAAAAGTAAAGCTACAAAAAGGGGATATATTAAAACTCTTAATCAATAAGCTTGCACAATTAAAATGAGAAAACCCTAAATATTCAGATTCTTGAATAAGCCCAATTGCAACATGTCC